GCGCGCGTGAGAGAGGGGGAGCGTGTGTGCGCGCGCGCGAGGGCAGGCGGGAGGAGTGTGTCCTTGCGAGGTTGTGTGTGGGTGAGGGAGAGTTCGTGCATGTGAGGGATGGAGTGTGTGAGAGGGTGTGTCTGTGCATGCAGGAGAGGGAGAGTACCTGTGTGGGGGTGTACGAGAGAGAGAGAGAGACAGTGTGCATGCGCGCGTGTGTGTGTGTGTATGGTGTGGTGGTGTCACCTGTAGTGTGACATGAACCCACAATCAAGGTTGAGGCAGTTCTCGTGCTTACTGAAATTTGGCTGTCAGCTTCTGCTTGGCAACTCTGTTGTTGTGTGTCCCGTGTTTTGCCTTGGAGAATGTTTACCCAAAGATCTGAGGCCAAATGTCCTTGACCCCTGAATTGCTCCCCCACTGGGAGGGACCAAGCCTGTTTGGCGATTGTTGCACGGTGTCCGTTTATCCATTGTTGTAGCGTCTGCATGGTTTTGTGAATTTCCCATGCCTTGGGGCATTCTTGCCTACAGCGTATGAGATAGACAGCATTGGCCAAGTCACGTGAATATCTGCCATGTACGTGGTGGATGGTGTTCCCACGTGTGATGGTAGTGTCCATGGCAAAGATCTGACATGTCTTGCAGAGGCACACGTACACACAGATCCTCACTGTCTGTTTCTCACACAGATCTCCTTCATGCGCACACAGTCTCTTCCGCACACCATCTTACTGTCCCTCCCAGACATGCCACGCACACTCACTCTCCTTCCCTCTCTCTCTCACGCTCCCCCTCTCCCTTCCCCTCCCTTCCTCCCCCTCCAGCCCTCTCCCCCACCAGCCCCCTCCCTCTCCCTCCCCCTCCAGCCCTCCCTCTCTCTCTCACACACGTGAATATATGGCGTGAATTTGTATTTACAGATGCATTCTATTTTGTTCAAAAAGCACACAACTTATAGACAGTCAGTCAATGAGGCGTTTTATAAATTCTTTCTTTAGAAATTAAACCAGTCTGACTCCAAACCAGAACACAAACAGATTCTAAACAAAGCCTCACACTTAATGTGCATTTTCTGACCTAAAATGTCATCACTTTACGCTGATCAAACCTTTAGTTTTCTCAGGACAGTGACTTCAAATGAATTCAGGCATTTACATCTACATATTAGTTAAAATCTTCGAACTGATTAAAGATTTAATAGCATCTTAGGTTTGTTTAGTACATCCTCATCAGTGGTGTGACCCTTTGATCTTTTACTTATAAATTCTATGCCTTATACTCCCTTTCTCATTAATATCTGAAGAAGGAGTAAGACTCCAAAAGCTTGTGTTTTCAATTAAACTTGTTGGACTTTGAACAAATTTCTGGCTGAGGTTCATGAACAGCAGCTAATCTCCTGCCTTTTCCTGGTATTGCTGCACATCTTTTCTATCCAGAAAATTGTCCAATAACATCCTGTATGCCTCAATTGAACCTTATTCCATGGTGTTTCCAGGTTATGTATTCCATACCCTAACTACATTGTGAGAAAGTTATTTATCATATCACCCTTGTAGATAGCACAGTGTGGAGCAGGAGGAACACAGCAGGCCAGGCAGCATCAGAGGAGCAGGAAAGTTGAAGTTTCGGGTCGGAACCCTTGCTTTGTTTGCTCATCACTTTAAATCTGTGCCCTCTCATTTTTTTTTACAAGTGGAAACAGCTTCTCCCTGTGAACTCTATCAGATACTTATGTAATTGAAAACCTCTATCAGATCTCCCCTCAGCCACCTTCTCCCCAAGGAGAACAGTTAACATAGAAACCAGGAGCAGGAGTAGGCCGTTTGCCCCTTCAACTTGCTCTGCCATTCATTATGATCATAATTGATCCATATACCATGTTCCTGCTTTCTCTACATCCTTCTTGATGCCTTTTAAATCTAAAAGCGTGTATCTTTTTCTTGAGTTGAAGCCAGATACTGGTACTGAGCGTCAGAATAGGCTCAACAGGCCAAATTGTCATCTCCTATTTCTTCTGTTCTTTTATCCATAAGCCATCCTGGTAAATATTTCCTTCAGTCTCTTCAGAGCCTTCAGCTTTTCTTAAGATTAATCCCTGAAATTGGACAAATCAGTCAAGTTCAGGCCCAACCAGTGTTTTTTAAACCTTCAGTGCAACTTCAGTGCTTTTGTACTCTGGTTTTATTTATGGAGTGCAGGATCCCATGTACCTTTATTAGCCACTTTCTCACTGTGTCATGCCGCCTTTCAATGATTTGTGTACCCATGCTACTGGGTCCCTCTGCTCTTGTACCCTTTCAGGGTGTCCTTTAATGTTTGAGAACAAATTACAAGCAAAGTTAGTATTGTGGATGCTGGAAATCTGAAATAATTCATATTGGACTTGAAATGTTAACTGTGTTTCTGTCTCTAAGATGCTGCCAGATCTGCTGAGTCTATAGCGCTTTATTTTCATTAGCATGTATAAGCATTGGCTTTCATTCATAGTTTTAAATAGATCTTCAAGTGCACATGCTGAGGAATTTTTGTTCTGAGACATGAACTTTCAGTTTGAGATATTTATTTAAGTTGCTTAATTGAATCCTGCTTTGGTCAACAGATGAGTAGTTATTGTTTATTTTCTCCTTTGCCATGTGTGATTGACAAATGCAGGTTGAAGTCCATATTGTTATTGCAACTAAAACCTTGATCTCATTTCAGGTCCAGTGGTCGAGCTGCAATATTTTTTCTACTCAGGATCATGCAGCCGCAGCAATTGCCAAATCTGGAGTTCCTGGTCAGTACAATAATACAATTATAAGACCATAAGACATAGGAGCAGAAGTTAGGCCATTCAGCCCATCGAGTCTCCTCCGCCATTCAATAATGGCTCAAGTTTCTCAACCCCATTCTCCTGCTTTTTCCCTGTAACCCTTGATCCCCTTGACAATCAAGAACCTACCAACCTCTGTCTTAAATATACTCAATGACCTGGCCTCCACAGCCTTCTGTACAGTGAATTCCATTGATTCACCACTCTCTGGCTGAAGAAGTTTCTCCTTATCTCTGTTCTAAGAGGTCTTCCCTTTACTCTAAGGCCGTGCCCTCAGGTCCTAGTCTCTCCTACCAATGGAAGCATCTTCCCAACATCCACTCTGTCCAGGCCATTCAGTATTCTGAGAGTTTCAATTAGATCCCCCCTCATCCTTCTAAACTCCAATGAGTATAGTCCCAAAGTCCTCAAATGTTCCTCATGTTAAGCTTTTCATTCCTGGGACCATTCTCATGCACCTCCACTGAACCCGCTCCAGGGCCAGTACATCCTTCCTGAGATATGGGGCCCAAAACTGCACACAATACTCCAAATGTAGCCTGACCACAGCCTTTTAGAGCCTCAGAAGTACATCCCTGCTTTTATATTCAATTCCTCTCAAAATAAATGCCAAAGTTGCATTTGCCTTCCTGACTACTGACTCAACCTGCAAGTTTACCTTGAGAGAATCCTGGACTAGAACTCCCAAGTCTCTTTGCACTTTAGACTTCTGAATTTTCTTCCCATTTAAAAAATAGCCCATACCTCTTTTCTTCTTACCAAAGTGCTTGACCTCTCACTTTCCCATGTTGTACTCCATTTGCCACTACTTTGCCAACTCTCCTAACCTGACTAAATCCTTCTGCAGACTCGCCACATCTTAAATTCTACCTGTCCCCCGACCTATCTTTGTATCATCTGCAAACTTAGCCAGAATGCCCACAGTTCCTTCATCTAGACTATTAATGTATAAATTGAAAAGTTGTGGTCCCAACACTGACCCTTGTGGAACAGCACTTGTCACCAGCTGCCGTCCTGAGAAAGACCCTTTTAACCCCACTCTCTGCTTTCTGCCAGACAGCCAATCTTCTATCCATGCTAGTACCTTGCCTCTAACACCAAGGGCCCTTTCAGTCTTTTGCCTTACTCTCTTTTTAAACAGGGGTGTCACGTTAGCGATTTTCCAGTCCTCTGGGACCCTCCCTGACTTTAGCAATTCCTGAAAGATCACTAACGCCTTCAGTATCTCTTCAGCTATCTCCTTAAGAACTCTCGAGTGTAGTCCAACCGGTCCTAGTGATTTATCCACCTTAAGGTCACTCAGTTTTTCTAGCACCTTCTCCTTGGTGATGGCCACCATATGCAGCTCTGCCCCCTGGTTCTCTCAAATTTTTGGGATATTATTTGTGTCTTCCACTGTAAAGATTGACGCAAAGTAATTATTCACTTCCTCAGCCACTTCCTCGTTCCTCACTACTATCTCTCCAGTGTCATTTTTCAGCAGTCCAATGTCCACTTTTGCCTCCCTTTTGCCCTTTAGATATCTAAAGAAACTCTTACAGTCCTCCTTTATATTACTGGCCAGCTTACCCTCATATTTAACCTTCTCCCTCCTTATTTTTTTTTTTGTTGCCCTCTGTTGGTCTTTGTAAGCTTCCCAATCCTCTGATTTCCCACTGCCCTTCACCACATTATATGCTTTCTCTTTTGCTTTTATGCTGTCCCTGAATTCCATAGTCAGTCTTGGTTGCCTCATCCTGCCTGTACCATGCTGCTTTTCCTTGGGATGAATTTTTGCTGTGTTTCTTGAATTACTCCTAGAAACCCCTGCCATTGCTGTTCCATTGCCTTTCCTGCTGTTCTGGTCAATTCTGCCCACTCCTCCCTCATACCTCTGTAGTCACCTTTATTCAGCCGTAATACCATTACCTCTGATTCTGTCTTCTCCCTCTCAAATTGCAGAGTAAATTCAATCATATTGTGATCACTGCCTCCTAAGGGTTTCTTCACCTTAAGCTCCCTTATCAAGTCTGGTTCATTGCACAACACTAAATCCAGTATTGCCTGTTCCCTGGTGGGCTCCACCACAAGCTGCTCCAAAAAGCCATCTCGTAGACATTCCACAAACTCCTTTTCATGCAATCCACTACCAACCTGATTTTCCCAGTCCACCTGCATTTTGAAATCCCCCATGATCTCTGTAACTTTGTCTTTCTTACACACCAGGAGATAGAAGAGGTTTATCTTGCGCCCCAGCTCCTGACTACTGTTTGGAGGCCTGTGCATAATTCCAACTATGGTTTATTACCTCTGCAGTTCCTGTACTCTACCCACACAGATTCTACACCATCTGACACTACTCGGTTTCTTACTATTGATTTGATTTAATTTCATTTCTTACTGATAAGGCAACCCCACCCCCTCTGCGTACCTGCCTATCTTTTCGGTAAGATGTATATCCTTGGATATTCAGCTCCCAATCCTGATCCCTTTGCAGCCATGTCTCCGTGATGCCCACCACATCATACCTGCCAATTTCGATCTGCGCCACAAGCTCATTTACCTTATTCCTTGTACTGCGTGCATTCAGATATAACACCTTCAGTCCTGTATTAGCCATCCCACTTCTCATTGTCACTCGTTTATCCAATGTGCTTGAAGTTTGATTCCTAACCCTTTCCAAACACTCTGTCCTATTTGTGTCTGTGCTGGAGACTTTAATAACCTCTCCTGAGTTCTCCTTGCCCATCAGTTTTTTCATATTTTTCCCCACAGTGGAATCTACTCCAACAGATGTTAGCCTGCTGCTTTGTTCCCCACTGGGGGACGTTTTACCCTTACACTTCCTATCCTGTATGCAAAGTATGATAAATAGGACACAGATCACCATTGGACGGCATGGGCATATAGCACTTATCACTGGGACTTCACTAAAGCACACTTGGTAGCTTTTGATTTTAAAGTAATAAGGTATAATGTTTAGCCATTTAAACTTGACCATTTGCTTTCATGCAACCATTTGGAGAGGGCAGGGTGACGGGTGAGTATAGATTACCCACCAAAGTAGTAGTAACATCAACTGCCCAGCTTGGAACTTCGTTGCCTGAGGATTTTCTGCTCCACTAATGTTCAGCTTGTGTAGCTACCACCACTTCCTGACTAATCACAGGAGGAGTGCACTCAGTCCACTGGGTCTGTTGTTTGTTTGACAGTACAGAACTTAAGCATTGTTGAGAAAGGATGTGTTTTGTTAGAACTTAATTTTCTATTCATCAGGACAATTCCCAAGAATATCAATATGCAGTGAAAGCAACACTTATACTATGAGGAAAGTGCTGATTAATCTGCAAGTGGGGTCTGATGGGTAGAGGTATTGCCATGGAGAATATACCCATTAACATTGACAATTAACAACCAGGATTTGGTTATAGTTTAAACCATGCAGATTGATTCTTATTAGCCAAGGCTTTGCCCTGATAAATGAAACAGTGAATGGGTATCTCACTTTTTTTCCCCTGTTGAAACAAGTGTGTGTTTGTTCTTTCTGTACGGGTTAATTTATGCAGCTTCCAGTGCATGCAAGTGTACCACGCTGCAAACCTCATTGATAATCCTGTAATGGTTATTGACACAATTTCACATGTCAAGATTATCCAGCAAATGTCATCCAATTAGGTCCACTTCATAACCATTTACCCACAACTCTAGCTTTATCCTTTTTAAATCTTACTATCTATGTTTAAAATTGCAATCAAATCTGCTTTTACCACACTTTCAGTCAGTGTAATCTAGAGTGCACAATCACACTTTTTTTAAAATAAAAGTTTCCTTACCTTTGGTTCTTTTGCTAATAACTTAAACCTTTTCTAAACTTAATTCCCATGATATGGTCATCTCTGTCTGGGCAGTATTTATTGCCCCTTTGGATGGTAGTGGTGAGCTGTTGCCATCAGCCACTGAAGTCCATAAGCGTAGATGCTTGGACAACAACAGTAAACCTTGGCAATATGCTTCCAAGTCAAGAAAGTGTGTGTGACTTGAGGGGAGTTTGCAGCTGGGGGCTATTTCCATGCATCTGCCCTTGTCCTTCTATTGGGTAGAGATGGAGCCTTGGTGAGTTACTGCAGTGCAACTGGTAGATGTTACATGCTCATACAGCTGTGCATTGGTGGTGGAGGAAGTGAATGTTTGTGCTGTGGTGCCAGTCAAGGCTGCTTTGTTATACATGATGTCGATCCTCCTGAATGTTGTTGGAGCTACCAGATTGAAGAGTATTCCATCAGATTCCTGACTTGTGCTTTGTAGTGAACAGGCTTTGAGGAGTTAGGTGAGTTACTTGCTGCAGAATTCCCAGCCTCTGACCTGCTCCTGTGCCCACAGTATTTGTCTGGCTGGTCCAGTTCTGTATCGGTCAATGGTAACAGTCCAAAGCTGAATATTGTCCAGATCTTGCTGCATTTGGTAATTAACTGCTTCAGTATCTGAGGAGACATGAATGGTGCTGAACATAGTGCAGTTATTGTAATCGTCTTCACCACTTCTACCATTCTGATGGAGGGAAGGTCATTGGTGAAACAACTAAAGATGGTGCCTGGGGCATTACACTCAGGAACTCCTGGAGATCTGTTGTGTGGCTGAGAAGAAAAAGTGCTCCAAACAGTGGGGAATTTTCTCCTGACTCCCATTGACTTGAATTTTGCTTAGCCTAAGCAAAATTCCATTCTTGGCCAAATGTGACCTTAATGTCAAGGGCAATAACTTTTCCCTCACCTCTGGAATTCAGTTGTTGAGCCTGTATTTGAAAGAAGGGAGTAATGAGGTCAGGAACTGAATGGGCTAGATGGAACCCACACTTAATATCATTGAGCAAGTTATTGTTAAATAAATGCAGCTTAATAGCAATTTGCTAATTGAGAATAGACTGGGGCATTGGGTTTCATGTGAAATTGTGGTAGTGTCCTTGCCTCTGATCCTTGAGGTGTGGG